GGGAGGGGGGGTGGGGGGTACCATACAATCATGCGTATGGACGTGGTGACAATGGGTTTTGTAAGTGGAACCAATATTGGGCTGGATTATATGAAAACAGCCCAATGCAATCAGATCTTTGTAATATTGGGATGGATTATATTGACAGAAGCCCAACACAATAAGATATTATTAACCGAAAAATTGGCATAGCATGACATGTTATAGTTAAAATTGGCAATAAATAGCCCACTTAAAATCTTTTAGCAAAACAAAGATTTTTGAAAATATATTTGGCATTTATTAGCCATATTTTCATTTACTCGAAAGTGGAGTTTTTTTTTTTGCATTCTAAAAAGTTATTTTATTCCCTAATTTTCTCCAAACTTTTTTCAAGACATGCTTTTTCTTTCACCGATCCTTTATTTATTGAAAAGTAAATTTTTTATTCTTTCTTCTTCTCTTTTCTTATTTTAAACAATTCTTTGTTAATAATGATTCTTTCAACATTTCTTTTACCTTTTTTTTTTTTTTTTTTTTTATCTTTTTACAATTCTTCATACATGCATATACTCTGTATTTGCTTAAATTTTCTCTTCCGTATTTACGTCCATCCAATGTATGATAATATGCTAAATCGTTTCTTTTCATTGTTCTTGACTATAGTTGCTCTATCATATATATATTGAATCTGTCATTGCTAAAACAATATGAATTTTTTTATTGTGGAATTGAAGATTTCAATTTAATTGGGCAAAAATTGAGATTATAATGTGTTATTTTTTTATATTTATTTTCATGGGTAAAAGTGATCTCATGAGTTTTTTTGAAAAAATAAATCTTAATTTTATATTGTTTTGGGTGGTATAAGTACAAAACTGTGTGTAACTTGAATGTAGAATCTGTTTATAGAATTTTATTTACTGCAATTGTATACATTTTTTACAAGAGAAAGTATTTGAAGATCCTTCATTAGTAATGCCATTTGGTTTGAATTAGTAAAATATAACACATATAATATATACATGATTGTGTATACATTGGTATAAAGTCATTCAATTTAATGCATACAACTACTAATTGAATCAATACACGAATTAGTCATATTTAATGTATACATAAATGTGTATACATTGCAGCAGAAACCATACGTTTCATTGTATACATAAACTAATTGAATGAATACACAATATTTTTATGTATACACAATCAACAATGTATACATAAATTTATAATGTATTCATAAATATTCTTCGAGTAAAACATTATGAATACATACTGAACTGATTTAATACATTAACCCCGTCAAATGGGGTGCAAAATACCCCATTAGAAATGGGCTTGGAAATATTCACTACGTTGTACCTCGTCTAAAATGGTTCGACTAATTTTGTATTAAGAATTTCACTAAAATTGCGATTCGAAGTGGTGAATAGAGTGAAAAATATTGTATGTCAATTGCCTTTCAATTATACATATTTATTTATGTGGAAATTATTTTATATTTATTTCAATCATCTATATATATATATACAAATAATTATTATTATTCTTTTAGCAAATATAGTAACTATTTATTACTATTATTTTCAACATATTTATTCCAAACACATGAGTAATTATTTATTTAAAAGTTGCTTTCACTCCACCTAAAAAATATAAAATTATCAAACTTGTGATATTTATCAACTATTTTTTATGAGTTAATTCATAGGGTCTCGAGTTTATTTGTCATTAAGTGAGAGTGGAAGACATTTGCAAAATATTTGGTTGGTGATACTTTAATTAATTGATACTATATGACATTTTAATCCCAATCACTAACAGAGAGCCTATTAATTAATTGGCTCACTTGCCAGCTAATAATAATAATAATGAGATGAGATGAGATCTTAGATCTAACATTTAACTTTTCTTTATATTATATATATATTACTCTTATTTAGAAGTGGGAGTTGGGATAGGACGAACACTGCAATTACATATTGTACCCAAGGTTTTCTTAGTGGTACTATATAAGCCAACAAAGGTTGGGACGAACGCTGCAATAAGAAGTTGTACCCAAAGTTATCTGAGTGGTACTATATATGTACAAAGTTATCTGAGTGGTACTATATATATGTGTACTTATTTCATTGACAATTGATTACTTTATCTTTTGTGGGCCTATTTGTTTAACACGTGTTTATGCATCTCTTTCCCTGCAAACGACGTCTATTCCAAAGCAATTCAAAGTTCTGCAATCACTCTCCTTTTTATGAGCTTTCTTTTTCATCTTCTCCTTAATGAATGTAAGTTTTCCTTCCTTTTTTTGTTTGAGTTTTGGGTCCTATTTTGTTGATTTTATATTCAATTGTTTTGATAATATTGCTTCCAATTTTTGCTACTTTGTTGGTATGTGGTTGTAGGTATGTTGCATGGACAAAATTCTATGTTGAATCCTCTCTTCTTCATCATCTTTTATGCACAAGAGTGCAGATCCATCTCAATATTTCAGTGGTAAGTCCGATTATAAAAGGGTACAATCAGAGATTTTTTTTTGTCACATCTGAGTAAAGAACTCAAGATTCAACTGGGTATGATGTAAATTATTGTGTTTTCTTTTTCTCTTTCATTTATGTCATTCTGAGAAATACAAAATGGTGACTTGCATTTCCGAATTTACAAAATGGTGAGTTTAATTTTTTTTGGTTTTACAATAAGCTCTATATTAAATGACATATAGAGTAACTATGTGATGCATTGTCCTGAGAAATTCAACAACGAAGTGTGTACATAAAAATGTCTTTTGCATATTGTAATATTCATGTGTCTTTCAATTGAAGATGGATTAGTTTGAAATTTCAAATGTCGGTGATTTTAGTGTGACACACGATTCTTATACCTTCTAATATACTATTAGACTAGATCTTATGAAGACAAAGAAAATCATAAGGTTTCCATTTGTTAACTACAATATGAAAAGGTGCTTCCAAATCAATTGCATATATCATTTAATGCCACAACATTTTAGTTATAAAGATTTAGTAAATCTTCAACACTATCTTAATGCTCATCATTTCACTGGCAAGTACTAATTTAACTGCTATGTTTCATCTGCTTCTCAATCTCTCTTATAAATAGGTTCATCTTATTTGTAGTCTGATAGCGACAAGAATACATCACACAAACCGACTTAACATGAGAGCTTAGCTTAGCTTAACTAGAAAGAGAAATTATGTTAAACTAATTGATGATTCCTCAGTCGTTTAGCTTGATTCTCTAATCTAAACGCTGAGTAGATATGATGATTTGAATAACAGTTTTCCAAGTGTCGACTTATGTATATATTTCTTATTTTCTTCTTTGTCCTGCTTCATGTTTTTCAATTGTAGGGAGTATCCTGTTTTTTGTTTGTAATTTTTTTTGCTACTGAAAAGGAAGCCTCTTTTAGGTTCTAAGTATAATCGTAATGACTTATATTCCTCCCATTCTCTGTTTTTTTTTTCCCTTCTTTTATGACATTTTGAAAGAAAGTCGTGTCGGAGTTTCGCAGCTTGCTATATGATGGGGTCCAAAGGCGATTTGCATGTTTTTTTCTTCTTTTTTTGGGATGAAGTAAGATATTGTATTTTAAAGTCATCAAGAAGATACAAATAACGTACTCAAAAACATGGTTAACTCCCAAAAACAGAAAATCCTATTTAATCAGGGAGTTAGCCACAAGTAAAGAATGGTCTCTTAGCCATAGTGAGCACGCTAATGAAATCTAAGAGGGGTAATATATCATTTACAGGGGATAATTTCCCCAACGAAAGAGGTTAAGAGGGCAAAAGGACTTCAGACTGCTAAAGAGTTGAGATAATATTAAAACATCTGAAATTCCTTTCTTCCTAAACACACCAAAAAGATACATGATGGAATCATGTGTTAGGTCTTCTTGATTGGGCTTTCAACTTCTCTAAGACTCCAATTTCCCATTGTTTCTTTGACACTCGGGGGGGGGGGGGGAATCCACTTGATGCTAGCAATCGAACTGAACATATTCCAACCATTGGACCGTGCAGCGATTCACTAAGTCAAGTCCATTGAGGCACATGAAACATTTGTTTGCTAGCTAAAGTTTCCTTCTATTTAGATTGTCGAGGGTTAGGATAGCATTTATCACATAATTTAAATTATTACTTGGTTCAATTATGTCTTACCCAAAATATTGTTGAAGTAAATGCTTTGGCAATGCATTAGTTGATGCCAAGGAAGGGATATAAGTTTGTTCTTAACTAAAAGACAGTTAAAATGTGACTAGAGATAATGAAAAACTTTTATTTTATTCTCAACTTCTTAAGAGTGACAAATAAAGTTGTTGATAAACTGAAAAATGTCTGAAATGTATTTGAGTTTAAAGTTTTACTTAGATATTCTCCTATTTGTTTTCTGCCTATATCTGCATTATCACATATTTTTATGGTTAACAAAAAGAAGACAAATTCATATTTGATGGTATAAAGAATAAGAGAAAAGTTAACCTCAATTTCTCTAAGGATATTGTGGTTTAAATGTAGAGTTATCATTTTCTGTCTATGTAGTAATGAAGAATTTAAGGGCTGAAATTCATGCAGGAAGCATTATGTTGAATCACAAAAGCGGTGAAGCAACTTCTACTATCATATCGTCATTGGCTAAGAGATGTATTCTAGCTATATGATACATGGGTTACCAACGAGGCAACGATTAGTGATTTCACAAAGGCGCAAGCACTTGTAGTGTGTTGTCATTGTATATCACATACATGGTGTGTTCCTCAAACATAAAAGGTATCTTTGGAGAGAAGACATTTTTTTGGTTGATTATACAATTCAATTGTCTATTTTTTTCCTATATTTATGTTGGACGACATTACACATTACAATTTAGTTTTTTTTACATGCACTGTATTACGAAAAAATAGCAGACTAGCAGTAATGAGGAATTAAGGTGTCAAATTGATGCAGAGTGCATTACTTTGAACCCAACTGAGGTTAATTCTGTTTTTTAGTTGTGTACTTTTCTCTTTTCAAATTTGTTACATTATACTTGAGAAAAAAATAGTGTACTAACAGTAATGAGGAATTTAAGGTTTAAAATTAGTGTAGAGAACATTATTCTGAAGCAGGACAAGTAGCAAATTAAATAACTTCTCCTAGCATGTCGTCATTAACTAAGAAGTATATTTGAGTTGTATGATACATGATTTATGAACGATAATTGATTTCACAAAAGTTTAATAGGACTTGGAGTGCACTGCCACTATGTATTTCAAGTTTCAACTAATGAGCCCGAATGAATTTCTGTTTTTCACGTGTAGACTGGTGCATTTATGCAGATTCTTACATTGAGTTTTTTATTTAAGAAGTTCTTGGCAAGTATGTTTCTTTTATAAGGTTTCAAAACAATTTTTCTTTGCTACGATAGAAGATAATGTGTATAGTGTGGACAAAAAAGAAAGTTAAGCAAATAGAGTGGATAACACTTTATTGTTTGCAATATATGTAGAAGTTGTCCCAATTAATGCATTGATGCTGAGAGAAACTCATTTAATGAGTACTTTGCAGAGAATACATTTAAAGCGATAGTTTAATTGCAAAAGCACTAAAAGATAAGTAATTTCAATTTTAATATGTCTCTTGCTTCGACACTCCTCGCCAATCTAACATGATAATTTTTTTGCTTTCAGGTAATATGGAGATAGGCAACTCTCATTTGCTTGGAGTAAGTTTTATAGGATTCTTATTCATAATTTCTTAGGAATATGTAATTCTCAACACATTATATGCTTTTGTGCTTTTGAAATCTTTTCTTCTTTCTAATTTTCTTTTGTATTGAAAATAGGTGCAACTTGAACCAATTTGTTCTGCCTCTGGGAGTAGAAAAATAGGAGTATTACATGGTGTCCGCTTTGTGACTTCACAGACACTCATCAACTTTTACTTTTGGAAATTGGTTAAGAGAGTTACGTGGAAATGAGTATAAAATTAGCTGACGTGACTAACCAAGACATGTCTGAATGGTTCGGAAAGCATTTCAAGTAAGTTGCACTCATTGTGATTATCTTCGGTGCTGCTTTAGATAGGTTCTAAATGTATAATTAAGTTATTGCACTGTGTCGTTGGTGTTGGTAATTTAACACATTTATTTTAATACATTTTCACATTTTTCATAGATTCTTACACTGTTTCGTGTGTGCAAAATTAATTTGACTACAAAAAATAGTTATTTGACCATGATGATTATTGATACATGCTTTACACTTTACAGAACTTCTGCGCTAGCATAAGGGAAAAAAAGTTGGATGGCGTAGTAATTTAAGTAACATAAAGAATGGAAATATAGAAAATTATTGACCTTGATCAAATGTTGATGATAAATGATTATCTCAGAAGTTATACTCACGGTTTCTACCCAATGCAAGGAATAAGTGGAAAGAGTTTTCAAGTAATCGTAGATAAATTAAAAATCCGATGGAAAGCATATATTTATTTTTGTTTCGTGTATGAACAAATTGTTTTGTCATACGTGGATGCTGAACTGGCATTCGTAAATTGACTTGATCTTTTTTTTTCGTAGATTTTACTTGCATCATTCTATGCATATGAATGAGTTGCATTGTGCTTGGCTAATAACTAAATCAAGAGTGAGGTTTGCTTATGGATGGTATAAATATTGCAAACTTGAACTTTCTTTTGAACTATGGATACGATATGTTGTAATAAGTCAATTGTAACTCTCTTAGACCTCTTTCCCTGAAAAATTCTGTGTTTCATTCAATTAGAGTTTTCACTACAAGAATGACCGATGTAAACAGGCACAAGAATTGTTTATCTATTGGGGAAGGGGTGTATGAACACTACAAAGAGAAGTTGTACAAGATATTATGTGGATTATACTATAAATGGTGGACTATTTCATTTGTGATTAAATTTCTTTATCGTTCTCCTATTAGGCAATAATCATGTGTATTGCTTCTAAAAACACAAGCCATTTCAAATTTTGCTAAACTTCCATATCTATGACGATCTCTGTTGGGTACATTGAGATTGTGGATTTATGATTTGGCTAATTTCTTCTTTGTTCAAGAGTCACTACTTTGTTACTCTGTACCTAATGACATAAAAGTTACTTGCCTGTGATATTATTGGGATCAGTTGTTTGTACTTTTTCATTTGAGTTAGCAGGTTTCAACATATGTTGACACTAAAACAAGTTCTGCCTCTCAAGTGTGGTTGCACTTCTATGTATATGTGAGCATCCTCTCATTTTTAATCTAAATTAGATGTTACTGATCCATACGTGAGTAGTTCTAGAATATGTAGTGCATTTGTTCCAAGTAATTTTTCTATTTCCTTTTTTTTATACTTTTTGAATAGCAGACAATTCTTTTTACCCAAAAATGAGCAGGGCCTCTCTTCAATTTGAGAGTCTTACTTGCACTAACATTTTGTTAGTATTTCTACTTTATGATTAATTTGGTTGTTGTCTATAATGGTAATCTTTACATACTACATTCATTTACTCCTATTCTTAGAAATAGTCAGATGAATTCTCAAAAAAGAAAAAAGTCACAGATGAAGTATAAGCTTGACAGGTTCAATTGTAGATGAATTATAAAGCATGTAGAAAGCTTTATATTTGTTTTAGCTTCGTGTATGAACATTATCTTTGTTGTGATATGTGGATGTTGAACTGAATGTGTTGGGAAGTTTTCTATTTCAAGACATATCAAGTATTGTCATGCTGCATAACTATCTTGTGGTGTGGCTTTGAATCTACTGAAATAATTTTTGCTTTCTCAGATCAAATCTGAAATAAATTATCCTCAGATAATTTGGCTTGTTTTTTCTTTATTTCTGGATCAACAACTTGAATATAATTAGAATGAGATAACTTTTTAATATAATTTTTATACTTAAAAAAAAAACTCATGTGGCAGTGTGTGCTCATATTGTGGTAATATTGTGTTTTTTCGCTTGTACATTTTGATGTCGTTTGTAAATTGACTTTACCTCCTTTTTGGTAGATCTCACTTGAATCAGTCACTGCACAAGAAATACTTGGGTTATGCTCACGGCTTGAAGCCAGATGAAGTGTGACGATGGCATATAAATTTGAGTTTTCTTGCAATAGGATGTGATATTTTTTTTAACTTAGCTCTCTTAAGTCTTTACACTCTTTCTACGAAAAGTTGTTCTCTGTTTAATCCAGCCAGAATTATCATAATAAGAAACAACTCTTAATAATACCTACTATGCTACATTATATAATTCATTGAGACCTGTGAACTTTTACCAATTTTTGTTATTGCCACTATTATTATTATTTTTTTAACTAAAGATTACTTGTGAGAATCTGTTGGGCCCGTGCTAGCACGGGCCATGCACCTCTAGTGTATATATATATAAAACATCTTTTTGGTACTCCATGCTTGTTTTGTTTATTTATTTTTTATTGAACATCCACTTCCTCCCTTTTTAATTCCTAGCAAAATGATGTTTCAACAACCAAATTTTTTTTTATGAATATCTTAGTGTATGGGTTGTTCGGTAAAGATTAAAAAGAACGAGAAAAATAATTATTCTGATAAAAATAGAAAAAATAAATTTTATAAATAATATTTTATTTTTCTTCATTCTTTAACACACTCATTCTACGTCCACTCCCACAACCTCCAATACCATCTCCTGCACGGCGGGATTAACAAGTTTATTAGAATTTATCCCTAAATTACACCCCCAACTCTTATGGTGTTTTCTTCAATTATGTATAAATATTTTTGAGATGATATATTTTTTCATTTATTAATTATTGTTTTTAAAGATCTCATTATTTTATATCATGAGATGAAATCACATGGCCAAACGCCTACTTAGTATTAGACTTAGCATTTTTCATACCGTATTTTAAACTTATAAATGTTGAATAAGTCTTCCGCTAAGCAGTCAGTAGGTCAAGAATTCGCTTGGGAACCAACAATGATTCTCGAGTATCAACCACATCTAGGGTATATGGTCGGACTGTGAAAGGAGGGGAGTTTGATTTTTAAATTAAAGTTGAAAGTGAAGTTTGTTTGATTTTGAGTTTGGATGCTTCTGGAAATTGAGTTAATTTGGATAATTCCAATCATATAGAAAAAGATGTGTAATTTAATGCTTCATTGACAAGTAGAATTACTGGAATTGGACTTTCATTAAAGAAATAATTTTTTTTTCCTTTGACAAATTTACGTGGAGATTTTACCTTTAAGTGCTTTTCGTTTATTTTAATTATTTTTTATCAGAAACGATTTATGTTTAATTTTATAATTTAAAAAGTATTTTTGAATTTTTATTGAGTTAAATTCCTATCAAAATGATGATCCTAACAACCAAAACATTTTTTATGAATACATAGCTGCATTGACTGTCCTATAAAGATTAATTAAAAAAAAGTGATCACTCTGATAAAAGTAAAAAAAAAAACAAGTTTTATAAGTAATATTTTATTTTATTTTCCGTCCTTCAACATACTCGTTGAATACACACCACAGCCTCCAATAGCATCATCCCTAAATTACTCTACCATCTCTCAGGATATTTGCCTAAATCATATATTAATATTTTTTTATTTATTTATCAAATACATTTTTTTAAATAAATTATTTTTAATTAAAAAAAAAATTTCCATACCAAATACATCATTTTTTTTCTATACCAAATACAACAATTTTTTCCTACACCAATTTTTAATTAAAACATTTTTTCTATTACCAAATACATTATTTTTTTCTATAAATAGTCCACTTTTTCTTGTGTCCATATTTTTTTCTTTTAAAAGGATAAAAGGTTACTTTTTTTCTATACACATTAGCAAAATGTTAAAGGTGAAAAGGTTCATTAATTCCTCGAAAAAGAAGACATTTTAAAAATTACATCATTGTTATTAGCTTTGCTGTTTGTATAGTGCAATTCTTAAATTAAACTTAGAGGTACGAATTTGGTTCCAAATATTATTACTTTAACTTATAGTTATACAAATGAAATCTGCTTTAAAGCAATTTTATAAGTAAGTAGTTATTTTTTACCTTTTTCATTCAAATTCATATTTCTGCTGTTTTGATTAGTTGAGCATTATGTAATTGCATACCAGCTCATATAGAAATATATAAGCAATTTTATAAAGAAAAAATATCTTTAAAATGTAGTTGTTAATGCGCAATAAACATCCTAAATTGCTTATATAAAGAAAAAATATCTTTAAAATGTAGTTGTTAATGCGCAATAAACATCCTAAAACTATAAATTATCACGTCCACAAATATACTAAAATTTATATCTTATAAAAAGATATTTTCATATATGTAATAATTATAAAGAAATGTAATCCCCCCCCCCCCCTCCCCATTTTTTTAACAACCAAGCATAGACTGGTTGGAAGTCATAGGGCGAAGGATTACGTACAAGAGCTAAGAAAATACCAGTATCTTTCATCAACCAGGTGCAATAGCCATTCTGGAACATCTTAAGATTTCCGCAATAGCCACCCCATGGTTTAAAGACATCAAAATTTTGATGTTTTTTACCCCATAAAAAACTACAGTGAAAAAGAGTAGTCATAGCGAAATTTATATGGAATGAGAAATCAAATTGTTCACCTGATTTTAGTATACGAACTCCAAGATCATCATCTTTAGATTGACAATGAACTTTGAGTAAAGGTGTATATTGAGGGAGATCACTCACAAAACGTTCGATAATTTTTGGATTTAAAGTGAAAGCATTTGTTATTTGCATAATGTTAATGAGTGATAAAATAAGTAATGGAAGTAGAATCTTTGAGTAAGGATAATAAGCCATTTTGAGAGATAATGTTTCATGAATGCAAATGAAAATTGGTTTGTTCTATTTATAAGAAATATTATATCATAATGATTTGAATAATATTGAAGGGTGTTTGACTTTTCAATTATTTTTTAAAGAAACTGTAATCTAATGCTATCTAGTAAAATTATTTGAATTTGACTGTCATTAAAGAAGGGATATTTTTCTTGATAAATTTATATGGATATTCTACATTAATATTAAGTGCTTTTCATTTTCATTTTCTAAATTTTTATGAAAAATAATTTATGTTTGACTAATCAATTTAAAAAGTACTTAAAAGATAATTAACATTGGGCCAAAAACTTTTAACAAGTGCTTATGTATTTACTCAAAAATATTTTTCATTTTTGGGAAGAAAATAATTTTGGAAGGACTTAGTACACTAGTTATTTCTTAAAGAGGTCATTTGAGAAATTATTTCACTCCAGAGAATACTTTTACATGACCATATAGTTATATTTTGGGAGTAGTATTAAGCATCGATTTGGAGTAAGAGTTAAGATAACTCAAATTTCATAACCTACGCTGCCATCTTAGATAGGATTATACCGCAAGATGGGCGACTCCTACCAGCCTTAAGAAGGCTTTTTAGTGGATCCATCAGTAAAGTTAGGTTCTATAATCTGGTAAGGTATAAGGCGGCTCTAGCAACGTGGGTAAGACATTGTATCATCACAAGGCTCATAGTGATAGTTATCGGTTAGAGAAACTCAACTCACTAGTAAAGTAATTATATATATATATATATATATATTTCAGTGCAGTTCAATATTTGTTATTATTGCATTTTATTTGTGAAGCTTAAATAATTTTATCTCATGTTTATACTTTACTCCAGTTGAGTTCTATTTAAATCTTTCCGTTAATTTATTGTTTGACTCAGTCATATTACATACTCATACATTTTATTTCTCTTCGTTCTTCAAAACACTTATTCTACGTTCTCTCTCACGACTCACAACCTCCAGTAGCACCTTCCTGCATGGCGGGATTAACAAGTTTATTAAATCAACCCCTAATTTACACCCTCTATCTCTTATGGTGTTTTCTTGAATTATGTATAAATATTTTTGAGATAATATATTTTTTCATTTAATAAATATTTTTTAAAAAAGATGTCAGTATTTTATATCATGAGATGAAATTACATGGCCAAATGCCTACGCTTAGTATTAGATTTAAACATTTTTCATTCAGTGTCTTAAACTTATAAATGTTGAGTAAGTGTTTCGATAAGCAATCAGTCAGATCAAGAATTCGCTTGGGAACCAACATGATTCTCGAGTACCAATCACATTCAAGGTATATGTTCGGGCTGTGAAAGGGGCGAGTTTGATTTTTAGATCAAAGTTATGAAGTGAAGTTTGTTTGATTTTGAGTTTGGATGCTTTTGGAAATTGAGTTAATTTAGATAATTCCAATCATAAAGAAAAAGATGTTTAATCTAATGCTTCCTTGATTAAAGAAATAATTTGTTTTTTCTTTGACAAATTTATGTTCAAATTTTACCTTATTAAGTGCTCTTTGTTTATTTTTTATATTTTTTTTAATCAGAAACTATTTATATTTAATTTATAATTTTAAAAATATTTTTGAATTTTTATTGAACATAGATACCTTCTCCCTTTTAAATTCCTGATCAAAATGATGTTCCAAACAACAAAAACAAATTTCTTGAATACATAGGCGCATTGGCTGTCCTATAAAAATTAATAAAAAAAAGTGATCAATCTGATAAAGAGTAGGAAAAAATAAGTTTTATAAGTATTTTTTAATTTTTTATCGTACATACTCCCACAACCTTCAATACCATCATCCCTAAAAAAATTTAATTTTTTTTTTGTTTTTTGTTTTTTGATCATCCCTAAATTACACTCCCATCTCTCAAAATAATTGCCTAAATCATATATAAATAGTTTTTACTTATTTATCAAATACATTTTTTTAATAATCAGTAAAACATTTTTTTCTATACCAAATACATCAATTACAGAGGGCTTTTTTAGGATGTTATAGTCCACTTTTTCTTGTGTCCATCTTTTTTTTAAAAAAAGGGTAAAAGGTTATTTTTTTTCTATACACATTAGTAAAATGTTAAAGGTGAAAAGGTTCATTAATTTCAGTTACCCATTCATATATGTTGGATGCTTTGTCA